GAGAGAGAGGGGAGAGGAAAGGGAAAGGAAAGAGAGAGAGAGAGAGAAAGAGGAAAGAGAGGGAGAGGAAAGAGGCATAAAATAATTCATTTACATTTAATTGTAATGGTTCAAAGAATGTTCGGAAAAATGTTCGGCCCTCCAGCACGTTCACTTCATCCAATCTGGCCCTCTTTGAAAAAAGTTTGGACACCCCTGATATAGGGCAAACCTGTCAGCTTTCTTTTCATTTGTTCAAGGCTATTGCTTATCACAGGTGGGAGAGGAGAGAGAGAGAGAGAGAGAGAGAAAGAGAGAGAGAGAGAGAGAGAGAGAGACCCTCTTCTCTGGTACTTTTCTTTTTCGGCTTGACTTTTCTAAGAGAAGGGAAATGGATGTTTCTTTTGGAGCAGCCTTTCGTATTTGTAATAGTTGGTTTCTGGGCCTAGGATTTCTACCTCTTTTCCTATTGTTCCTGCCTGTTTAATATTTCCCAAAGGTATTTCTTTTTCATGGGTATCTAGATGCTAACTTCTAATTATTGATTGAATCAATAATCCATTACAGCCATGGAGCAAGTTTCGAATTAACTCCGGAGTTCAGAGATCTCAAACCAGGGGTGGGGAACCTTAGCTCTTTTATGGCTCGTGGACTTCAACTCCCAGAATTCCTGAGCCAGCATGGCTCAGCTTGGAAACCTTTCCCTTTCCCCTCAGCGTGGCTGGCTCAGGAATTCTGGGAGTTGAAGTCCACCAGTCATAAAAGAGCCAAGGTTGCCCTCCCCTGTCTTAAACGGCTGATCCATGGGAATTGCATCCCATGAGGGAAGCCGAGCGAGAGATTTACTTTGGAAACTGGCCTTTGTAAGTCTAACCAGACAGGCTAAAGCTGACAGCTGCTCTTTGCCCCAAACAGCTGCTCCACCCCCAAAAAAAGCAACGTTGCAAAAAGAGAAACCAGTGAAGGAGCCAAACTTTTTCCTTCGACCTTCTCCGGAGGAAAGAGGAACGCGACATCCGCCAGTTGTTTTTTCTCCAAATTGGCACCCAAAGCAAAGGGAAAAAACTGCTGCGGAGTTTTGAAAAACTGCCAGGGCTGCTGCAACCCTTCCCAAAACAAAGCACCCCGTGCAGCCCAGCCTCATCCTGCACAGCTGCCGCGATGCCCGGCCACTTGCTTGTCCAAGATGAAGTACAGGTCGAAGCCCCATAGCAGGTGGTGCCCCCTCCTTTTGCTGCCCCCCTCGCCTGTTACAGGGGACCATCAGGGTGTTCAGAAAGGAGGGGAAAAGGCTGTCCAGAAGTAGTTTTTTTTGGGGGGGGGTTAGATTTCCCTTCTGCTTTGCTTTCCCTCCGGTCCGTTTTCAGGGCGCCTCTGCCTTGCGCTTCCAGCACAGCTCAGCCAAGCCCGCTACTGTCGGCCAGGCGATTGGCAATTTCCGGTTCCTGTTGCTTTGCTTTGCCCCAGATTTGAGGAACATGGAAGCCTCCTCCCTCCTCCTGGCCCCTTCCCCGTGAAGGAAAGAGCCGGAATCCGGGGCTGATCCTGGTGCTTCTGCTGAACCCTGATAACCCTGCAAGCTCCAGCTGTCTCTCACTCAGGCTTGTGCGGTGTTGCCGCCGGTTCAGCTCATTCCCCTCCCCTACTACCACTTCTAGGATGGTCGCGTACCACCTGCCAGGTGCCAAAGCACCACAGGTGGTACCTGTACCACCGGTTGAAAAGCCCTGCGCTAAAATACTGACAGCCACAAGGAACCAACAAGGATGCCGCGGGTTACTTCAGAGTAGTTTACAGAATTACAGGTTGTCCTCGACTTACAATCACAACTGAGCCCAAAATTTCTGTTGCTTTGTGAGACAGTTGTTGTGAGCTTTGTCCCATTTTATGACCTGTCTTGCCACAGTTGTTAAGTGAATCACTGCAATTG